AACTGTCGTTTACAAATTTTCAAGGACAAAAGTTGGACAGGGTTTTGGTAGGTGAAGAGATGGTAAACGTCAAACTTTATCGAACAATTTCGAGAATTTCGCAGTAATGTTTATTACCCAATGTCGTATCGTGAAATTAAAATAATTAAAATCGTTCTAAATTGTTAGCAACGGAGTCTGACAATCTGATGTATTTGTAGTTTAGAAATAATTATTTAAACAGATATTTATAATATATCAAATTATAACTCTACAAAGTTCTCATAGCAATTCACATAGGCGTTGTAACTGTATGCAAGTAGATAACATTATTGTAATAATATTTTAAACGCAGTTACACTGGATGTAGGTCATTAATAATCGTGATGCCAAATAGTTTCGTCTTCCAAAGTCTGTCAAAAGAACAAGCTACTTTAAAAAAAATCATTGGTTCAATTCCAGACAAAAGGCGTGGCAACACGAATCGGATCATTGGGCTCTATTGCTTAGATAACTTCGTAGAAGTTCCAAACAATTTCCCCTTAGGCCTATTTCTTTGAGAGTTTCTAAAAATATAGTGTGACTAATTATGTTGAAGGCTTTAACTAAGTCAAAAAATATACAAAGTTAAAGCTTTGCTTTCTCCAAGGCAGTATGTTAAAAATAAAATAGCATCTTCTGTGGAAGTTTTTTCTCTAATTCCAAACTGTCTTGGTGACAGTAATCCAAACTTATTGACAAACGATATCATTATTTTAATAATTTTAGAGAAATTAGTGACAAGTAAACTGGGACGATAATTGGTAGTACAATCTTTTTTTTTGAATGATAAACGAACATTTCATGCATATTCGCTTTTTCAAATAATTTTAAATTTATATAATAAAATATCCTTTCAATATGATGTACAAAAATGCAATAAATAATTAAATACAAGAATAAATAAACGTTCATGATTTGTAAATGAACGCAGCCACCCAGCAAATCTCCCAACACGTAAATCCGCAATTCTTCACAAACAAATTGGCCCGTACATCACAGATAACCACTGTCGCTGTTCCGTTGGCCTTATGCCAAAACAAACGGATAGAAGAGGGTCAATTAAAGTGAAAGGTTTCTCTCTTTTTAATGAATATGCCAGTAGCCATGTCTAACGCAAGGCCCGATAAATTTAGACCAAAGGTCAACAAAAACATCGACAAAGTTAACCCGCCAAATATATATCGATCAGCTTTGGAGAGATCCGATGAGAAAATGTAAATCAAAGGTTATATAAAAAAGACAAAAATGATATACGAGATGTGAGTAGAAAACGACCACGTTGGTGTTATAACATTTTTTATTTTTTTTTCACGATTTTTTACCTCATTTTAATTCCTTGTACAATCCCTGCACAGCAATGTTACTCTCAGTGCTTATTTGATCTTGGGGAACAAAAAGTTACATGAGGCCAGTTCAGTGGATGTTCTAATACAGAAATCTCAATGGATGACCAAAATCCCTTTGATAGATATTGGAATATTGGCTGAAGCGTTGAGAGTTTTAAAATACACTGTTTTAAGTGTTCTAGATTCAATAAAGGTACTTGAATTGTGTTTAACTTTTATTTACATGCACCTGTACATGAAAAAAGATGATATTCAAAAAAATAAATGACATGACATAGACAATTGACGTTTAAAGTACGTTCCAATTTTCATAAACATTTAGAACGATTATATTCATTTAAAATTGTATATGGTTCCTTGCGCAACATTTTACTAGTCGTCATAACTTTAGGGGCCAATTTCTTTGGAGAATTCCAAGACTACCGTGGTCGCTATTTAACCCATTCCTTGGCCTCATTCCCTGAATTAAACAGTAAATAATTACCTATAAATAGAACCCAAACACGGCGATGTATAATTTTAGACAAACATTTCCTTTTTCAAATATTTTTAGTGCACGATCAACCTCAATGGTTTAATTATTTTAATTTTAGTAGTTGCTGAATTCATACGTTCTCGTTCTCCGAAATTAAAAACTTTGATAGTTTTATCCATATTTGAGGAAACTCTAAAGTTTTTTTAATTTGGGAGCTTGATACTAAAGTATACCATAGTCAAATTACATTTTAACAAAAAAAGGAAGCATCTAAAGATATTTAAATTTTTAAACGCCTAAATTGCAAATGATTTAGTAAGGTTATGTTGTTTAACTCATATAATGCAGCGTTTCAAAACTATATGCAACAAAGAAGAAGGCCTGACTGCAAACTTATTTTGTCAGGCTTAATTATTGTATTACAGTTGTTTTTATTGCAATGATTTAACTTCCTAGTACTTTTGAGTAAAAAATCTTAATCTTACGTAGGTTTTGCTGGTTTATAAGTTTATTTCATCATTCTAGAAATTGTTATTAAAATTAAAATGATATAACCATGAATGTACGATACTAATTGCAACACTTGATTGAACTTTTAGAAATCTCGATTCGTGTTAGTTCAAAGGTTAAAGTTTGACTCAAATTAAATACATAGGCAGCGCCATTAATTAGCTAACAAAGTAAAATTCGTTTATGTTCAAAGGTAAAGAATTCAAAGCACCGTAAAATAGAAATTACCACTTCAAAGTCTGAATGGGAAATAGAATCTTAAACACGACACCGGTGTGAACTTAGCAAACAATTTTCAGCGACTAATTATCCGAAAATTGCCGAACTGTCAGTGGTTAAACTCAACACCATCTATAAAGAAAAATTAATCCAATTACATTAGTTATTCTAATCTTTTTGCTTGGAATTAAAAGATCTTTCTAGGAAACTTAGTTTCCGTTTTAAACACTTCCCAAATCGTATTTTACTTCCTTTCTCCAAAGAGAAGTCGGCAGAAGAGTCGCAGAATCGGAGTTAGAAAATAAAGTTCCTGGAAAGTACATCGTAAACGTGACAGCTAATTGAAATTACTAAGTAAACGTAATCCGGGAAATAGGTCCCCGTACACTTAACTAAACTTTTCATTTGCTGTCTCTTCAGTTTCGATACTTGCAAGTAGAAATATATTGTTAAATCCTTATTATTTATTTTACACCATCAATAAATAGGTTTCTAACATTTATTAATATTGAAATCACAGCTTTGTATTGCACACAAGACATGAATAGTAATTTTTATAGTTACAATTAATAAAATTCGTTAAAAAACATACTAAAAACTCTAAAAAAAATGTTAAAAAATGTCCTGGGAATATAAAATCACACAAAATGAACAAATAAAACTGACAATTTCCAAATGCTTGTTGACAGTTTGCGACTAAATTTTAGTGCTGCTTTTTAAAATGGACAAATCATATCAAAAGAAAGAGAGAATAAGAGAAAAAAGGGTAGATACAGACTTCAAACAAATCCAGACTTATCTATATTTTGTTTATCTGGACTGAAAATTTATTTACTGAAATAAACAACCATATGAGATTGTCCTACTTTCTTCTGTACTCCATATTTAAAACTAAAAAAAAGTAATAATAGTTTTCAATGATTTATTCTCGTGTAATTCTGGAGAAATTCTATTCCAATTCATTACCTCTCAAGATTTACTCCAAAAAAAACAAACAAAACTCTGCAGATCAACAATTTATTTTAAATTTAAACAGTTTAAAAAAGTTTTACAATATCTCAAAAGTAATTGAAGCATTTCTTGTTGTCCATTCAACATTGTGTTGCATAGAAAACACACAATGGAAGTCAGCAACTCAATTTCCAACTCCCGAAACTTAGATTAAATAACTTCGGTATTTCGGGTATTCAAGTTTAAGACGTACTTTATCAGTCTGAGGAAGTAAGTACAGTTAAAGTTTCGAGAAAATCTGTCAAAATTCAAAAAGCGGTTTCTAAAGTGGCTAAAGTTGTACAACAAACGAAAGTTCGGAACACAAAAGGCCTACGTAACTATGTCTTGTCTCTTGAAATCAGAGGTGCTTTTATACCAACTCGTTAGTGTAAATGTTTACGTTTGTTAATGAACACAATGTAGACAAGCATTATTATTTTTTGTTTCATGTCTTTATGTCTTTGTTGAAGGTAAAATTGTACTTGAAAACGAGAATAAGTGTTTTGTGGTGGATTATGCGGGTTTTGAATGTGATAGGGTTGGTATCGTAAAACTCTTTTTTTCGCTTTGTGTTCTTAACTTGGAGGTTTCTTAACTAATTGCTTTTAGAGTTCTGTTGATTAAAATGTATATATTGACAATTTTTATATTGCCTAATTTAAGAAGCACAAGATATACGAGTGAGTATAATCAAGAAGAATAATGATTATAAAAAAACTTAATAATAGTTTAAATAAATTTTAAAATTTACTCTTTTTGATTTAGATATAATTTTGAATATATTATTTACAGATAATTGTCCATAAATATGTAGAATTTAGGTTTACATGTAATTTAATGTTTTCTGATAGGAATTTCACTGGGAATTCTTAGAATGGGGTCTTATGATCAGGCCCGACAAGAAGGGGGATGGCCGGGACTAATTCCCGGGACCTGGGCTAAAATGGGGGCCCGACAGTGGTATAAGGAGGGCCCAGCAGCAGTACAATGATTTTTTTTGTTACTTTCAGAAGTTCGGCACAAGAAGGGGGAAGTTTTTGTTTGAAGACCTTTTTTTTTAATTTTTATAAAATTATCGCAGGGCCCGATCTGGAGAATTGTCCTGGGCCTCGGCCTGGCTCTCGGCGGCCCTGCTTATGATAAAATACTGATACAATACACACCTTGAAAAGTCTAATCCTTATATCTAGGGGCGAATCAAAATGTTAATGCAGGTCCTAAAATAATATTTGTTTATAAAATTTAAGCCGAATCCGTATATATTTTTACAATTAAAACATTTTGAAATCAATTTATTTTACAATCGATTCTATTTTCAACTATTTCTTTAAAAATATAATGTGCGACATGTACATAATCATAGTTTCCATAATTAAAAATGTTTTAATAATTTTAAAGGAATCCGCAACGGCTTAACAAAAGTTTAATTGTTCCAGATTTCGTCCCTCATTGAACAACATGGCGGTGCTGGAACTCTACGACCCGGAGCAGTGGCGAGAGTGGGACAAGCCGTCAACTTGGCTGTGGAAAGGTTCGTGACAGTGGGAGAAACGATCGCCGATGACTATCAGGAAGTACGACAGGGAATGTACGAAGCTTGCAAGGAAGCGCGACAAGCTGGTAAGAATTATTTACAGATTTTTACCATATCTTTCTTATCTTTCGAAATTTTCGACCTCTCGTATCATATAAATTTAAATTATGTTTTTTTAAAGCGTTTAGTAGTTTTTTTTTTAATCTTCAGCTGTTATGTCTTCTATTGGAGCAAAATGTAAAGAACATTCCTCAACAATAGTTTCCCCTCTTGTTGGTCCTCTCAAAATTTCTCACAAAATACTCATTTTATTCCTACATTTCAAATTTCAGCAATTCGGACCAAATCTCTACTCGTTTTATTAAAAGGAAATTGACGTTAACAGCTTACCGATGATTTACGTTTCTGCTTTTACGATGTCCCGATCGTCACCGTTGGTTTGCAGTTAACTTTCATAATAGTTTCCTGTAATTCACGAAATCGCATTGAAGCTTCTCATGTGAAAGCGACGATTATAAACTTTAGCTGGAATTTCTGGAAATAGTCGTTAACTTCCTAGGCATTATAGTGTCGTTAAATGTAAGGCGATGGCATTGTGTCCGCCATCGTTAAATTTTATAATTAGCAATTGTATGCAGAAAAGTTAAAAGTAACTGTATTTAAAAAACCATATTTTGACCGGAGAAGCATAGTAATTAAAAACATACATTGCAGTTTTCTCGTCCTATTCCACCTTAATAATTATTCTGGGCTTAATGCAAAAGGAGTCATTTATGAAAATGTTCGTAGTTTTGAACTAAATCTTTTTATATAATTATATCTAAGGTTTTTCTATATAACTATAGCATACATTATATTATCTAAATCCTACACTTCCTTAAGAATACAGGATTGGAAAAGTCGATAATGTGATAATGCTTTACAACCTTGTCTGATGTGTATGATTCTTTTCTTGTTAGTAAGGGAGTATCTCAGGTGTGATCCCATATAAATTTGATCAATTTCTAATAATTGGGTACATGAGAAAATCCTCAAACTCTTTATTTTTCTTGTATATTTAGAGATAATTTTTTACCACCTTGTCTGATTTCTATGATCTTTTTTTGTTAGTAAGGGGGTGTTCCCATATAAATTTGAACAAAATTTAATAATTGAATACAAGAGAAAATCCTCGAACTTTTCATTTTTCTTGTATGTTTGGAGATAATTCTTTACCACCTCATCCAATTTCTATGATTCTTTTTTTGATAGTAAGGGGGTACCTAAGGGGTGATCCCATATAAATTTCGTCAAAATCTAATAATTGGGTCCATGATAAAATCCTCAAACTTCATTTTTCTTGTATGTTTAGAGATAATTCTTTAGCGCCTTGTCCGATTTATATGATTCTTGTTTTGTTAGTAAAGGGTATATTAGGGGTAGTACCATATAAATTTGGTCAAAATCTAATAATTGGGGCTATGAGAAAATCCTCAAACTCTTCATTTGTCTTGTATGTTTAGAGATAATTCTTTACCACCTTGTCCAATTTCTATGATTCTTTTTTTGCTAGTAAAGGGGTACTTTAGGGGTGATCCCATATAAATTTGGTTAAGATATGGTGATGGCATCTGCACGATTTTGAAGACGGTTTATTAAAATTACATTTAATACTTGTAATTTATAGAAACGATTGTTAGTCCCTAATTACACACCTTTCAAAAACATTAAAAAAATTCTTAAAAGACCACTAAATAACTTTATTAATAAATACAACCATCTTTTGAAAAATCAGTTTGGATTCAAAGCAAAAACTTCAACAGAAGATGCCATCCTAGCTTTAACTTAAAAAAAAGCATTCCTTGCTTATGCCTTTTCATAGATTTGAGTAAAGCATTTGATACTGTTGATCATTGCCATATAGGCAACTGTTTAAATTTATTTCAAAATTACCTTAAGAATAAAAGACAAATAGTTAAAGTAGGCAATCTCAGTAATCAAGAATACGTAAAATGCGGTATAACCCAAGATACTGTTCTGGACCCTTTTATTATTATATATATTTATTTATTTAGAATAGTACTGGGAATATTTTTGGATATGCAGACGGCACTGCAATTTTTTACGAGACAGACAATTGGTATGATCTTAAATATAAAGTAGTTGTTAGATTTTCTTCACATTAAAAATTGGTTTGATAATAAACTTTTAACTGTAAATTTTGAAATAACGAAATTTTTACGTGAATATCAACAGAAATACGAGATTCCAAAATATGTTGTTTTGTCATAGAATTAAAATAAACAACGATAAGAACATTGTTTTTTTTTTTATTATTATTATTAAAACTATGTACCTACTAGGGGGGGGTAAATATTTTAATTTTTTTATTGGTGCCTACAAAAACTTTCATCAATGTTTTGCACTATTAGTTTTTACAATAATAACAAATTTTTAGGTGCGGCAATTGAACATATTTGTGAATTACACGAAGAAGAAGCTACTCCAGATAGAACCGTCTTAGTACGAGCAGCTAGATGTCTTCTGGGTGCCATTACCAGGGTTCTACTCTTGGCTGACATTGTAGTTGTCAAACAACTGCTGTTTGCCAAAGAGAAGGTAATATTTTTATTTTATAGGTTACTTTTCTAAACGATGTAAATAATGTATAACTTTCTTATATAGAAGACACTACTGACGTTTTGATAAAGATATGTCAATGTTTAAAAATTTATCCAAAAAGTATTAGGTCAATTGCACAAAGAATGCAGTTACAATCAATGATATCCATAATGTTATTGACGAATACATTGAATAATAAAGGACTAAGTGTAGCAGTCGATCGAAAACCAGTTGACCGTTATTGATGCGATGTGTCGTTGAATCACCCTGAACACCGTCGGTACAGCTGCTAGTGAGTCACAACACAGGTGGTCTGGCATTCTTATCGGACTATTTCTTTTGGAGAGAAATATTTGGGATATTGATTCATTATTAGTTTAGCTTTGAATTAAATCGTTTGGCAAATAAAACTTCGTATTAACTATATTTATTAATTTAACAGTTTCAATATAAGAATTGACATTTGTGTGACTCCTGATGATGCAAGGTCCTATATGGGTCTATATGGAGAAATGTTGCATCATAATTTGAAGGTTTTACATATTACGAGTCTGTTATCTGTCTTTCGTTGACATTTTGTCATCGCAACTTTAGTACAAACATAATTTTATCTCAATATTTTTCTTCCACTATCTTTGGTTTGTGTTTAAAATAAAAACTAGATCCAATTTTGACCACTAATATCGACAATCCTTGTTTCTCTGTTGCCAACATTTTAATTTTTAGCCAAAAACATCAATAATTGTTATTAAATTTGTCAGTGACTCTGAAATCATAATATTCTACTTGTTACGTTTAAATAATTTGGTTTGTGATTCAGCGCTGGATAGAAACATAAAATAGTTTTCGAGTTCGAGCTGCAATCGTAAATTTTGTTCGTTTTATTGAACCACTGCACTGCATTGTGGATGAGAAAATAATGACTATACCCAAAAATAATAAATTGCTACATGTTTCCCATGTGGAATTCGGATTTAAAATTAAATGAAAATATACGTTGCTATTATGGCTTAATTAAATCAAATCTGATGAAATATGTAATGTTGTTTAATAGTTGAATAATTTGTAAACCAGTCCTGATTTTTTTTAGGAATTAGTTGTCAAAAGTTTAGTCAATTTATTATTTTTTCTAGTATTAAAATGAATATGCAGCTCGATAAGCGAATATGACAACATTAACTATTCAATAAAGGAATAAAAGTTTAAAATTAATACTACATCAAATTTAATTGTAATATTAAGTACAGTTGCGACTAGTTTCGGATTTACAGAGCCATCTTCAGGCCTGTAATACCTTGTTTTATACTTGCTTTAATATGTTGAATCTTTCAACATCATCCCCTCTCGAAAACAAGCTGGGGACATTATATTGATGTGAATAAAAAAAAAAAAAAGATAAAAGAAAGAATATGTTACATTGGCATCAGTCTAGATTCTAGATCTTCTGGCCCTGAAACTTCCCAACTCAGATTCCTAGCCCAGTCTTCCTGATCTGATATACCTTTGCTAGCTTTTTGTGGAAAGTAATATGTGTAAAATGTTTGACAAGTTTACTACAAATATAAGTGTTTTAGAATGAACGATTATACTATGGGTATAGTGACTTATGCAAAGAAGTTTTAAATAAACTTTTATATCCAGTATCATACTATATTTTTCCAAACCAAATAGGATGCACCGATGTTTTGTAGTCTGTGCGTAGAATCACTAATATCCATGTGGGTCTAGAAAAAATAATGTTTATTATTAAAAATATATTCGAGAATTTCCAAACAATTTACTCTAATATTATCATTTATTACAAGCGCTGATTCGAATTTATAAAATTTAGCTTTGATGGCCAGTTTAGCTGTTTACATCGTTCAATAAATAATATTCATCTGACCCGACCTAATTTTGGAGGAAATCAATCAAACCACTTGATGATTTATTCAGTGAACTAAATAATCAAATGTATTTCAAAATAATCTAAATATGAAACCAAATCATTATCAGAACAAAAAAAAAACAGTAAAAAACTGTTTATCTGCGCATTATTTCGACCAGTGGCGCATCCAGATTTCAATTCTGAAGGTTAGTGGCAATAAAGTTAAAGTCTACAGGGGTATTGGTAATATTTAGGAGTTTGGAAGGTAGAAAAAGAAAAAAGGTCGTTTAGATCTCACAAAGGATTTTTTCTTTTTCTACCTTTTTCTCTTTTACCCTTTTTATTTTTTAACTTTTTTTATTTTTTACCTTTTTTCTTTTTCACCTTGTTTCTTTTTTACTTTTTTTCTTTTTCTATCTTTTAATGTAACCAACTCACTCATTAATACTACAAGTTTGAATTTAAGACTTTCTTTTCAATATTAATACATTTAAGTACCTATATAAAGATAGCTTTAAGCATTCTTGAAGAGGAGTAATTGCCTTCATTACATCCCCCCCCCCGTTTTTACATCCCCCCCCCCGTTTTTGATTCCCTTGTCATCGACGTTATTTGAATGAACGTTGTTTTTAGGTATCGCACAGTTTGGATCGTTTGGAATCGGTAAACAATTTTACGGAGTTCGTGAAAGCCTTTAGTCAGTTTGGTGCCGAAATGGTAGAATTAGCTCATTTAACGGGTGATAGACAGAACGATCTGAAGGACGAAAGGAGGCGGGCGCAAATGGCCGCTGCGAGACAAGTGCTGGAGAGGTCCACTATGATGTTATTAACTGCCAGTAAAGTAAGTGTTATTTACATTATATTAGTTTAGTTAATTTTTAAAGGAATAGAAAGTATACTGTTTTCTATTATAGAGTCCTAAGTGATACCTAAAAGGATTACTTCATTTTTATATTTATTATTGTTGACTTCGAGGAAATATAGAGTAAAAAATGTGTTTAAGTTATAAAAACACAAAAAAAACAACAAAAAACAAGTAACAAAAATAACAAAAACAACAAAAAACAAATAAAACAACAAAATTACAAAAAGGAACAAAAAACAACTAAAAACACAACGACAAAAAAACGAAATAAAATAAAACAAAAACTATAACAAAATAACATAAAACAGAAAAAATAACAAAAAATAAAATAAGAAAACGACAAAAAACAACAAAATAAAAAAAACAAAAACAAAAAATTAAGAAAACAACAGAAAACAACGAAATAACAAAAGAACAAAAGGAAAAACAAAAACAACAAAAAACAGCTAAAAAGACAAAAACCAATAAAAAACGACAAAAAACGACAAAAAACGACAAAAAACGACAAAAAAAACGACAAAAAACGACAAAAAAAAACAAAAAAAATATATAACAAGAACCACAAAATAATAACAGGAACAAAAATAAACAACAAAAAAACAGAAAATAGAAAAACAACAAAAAAAGGACGAAAAACAATAACAAAAAACAGCTTAAAAAGCAAAACGACAAAAACCGATAAAAAACAACAAGAAAAGGACAAAAACGACAAGAAAACAACAAAAAAATTAAATCAAAATTATAACAAAGTAACAGAACAATAACAAAAAAAAATAAAAACAAACAAAAAAAAAAACAACTAAAAACAACGAAACATAATAGGAAACAACAAAAAACAAAAGACCAATAAGAAAACAACAAAAAGATGACAACAAAAGGACATCAATAAAAAGACAACAACAAAAACAATTAAAAAACAAAACGACAAAAAAACAAAAAAAATATAACAAGAACCACAAAATAATAAAGGAACAAAAATAAACAACAAAATAACAGAAAATACAAAAACGACAAAAACCGATAAAAAACAACAAGAATAGGACAAAAACGACAAGAAAACAACAAAAAAAATTAAAACAAAGCAATAACAAAAAAAGAAAAACATAAACAACAAAAAAAAAACAACGAAAAACAACAAAAAACAAAAGACCAATAAGAAAACAACAAAAAGATGACAACAAAAGGACAACAATAAAAACAATTAAAAAAACAAAACGACAAAAAACGACAAAAAAAATACAAAAACAACAAAAAAAAAGGACGAAAAACAACAAGAACAGCAACAACAACAAAAAACAGCAACAACAAAAGACCATAAAAATAACTAAAGAACAAAAAAATAAAAATAATAATTAACAATTATCTCTTCATAAAATAAAATAAAATAAATGAAACTTCAAAGTTGTATTTAATTTATTTCACTTCTTTATCACATTTGAGTTGAAATTATGTCCCATTTGTATCATTTTATTATTATCCACATCCAAAATATCTTCCACCAAAATATAAGGATCGACTTAAAGCCGAAAAGCTCTCGACTGCGTACATAAAAGTTTCATTTAGAAGATAAGTGAATGCAATTGTGCTGAACTTTATACTAAATTTTTTATGCGCTCAGTGCCTAGCATTTCATGTTTCATATTTCACGAGCTTCGTTCAGTTCGCCCGAATTAAAGGTGCCGTTTTGGTTTTATTTCGAAAACTTTACGTCGCTTTACAGCATTCGTGGGAAGATAATTTTAATAAGCAAGTCGTGATTCGAACAATGAATTTACGGTTTCAATCCAATTATATTCGAAATTGGTTGCAAGGAAAGCTAAATCGATAATATAAGTCAAATTTGCTACTAATTTTGTTATCAGATTGTAATAATAAAAACCTTTTCACTATCATTTTTACTGTTCTTAATTTTATTTTATGGTTCGTAGAAATTTAGAAATTCTATTCATATTGGAAAAAAGAAATTAAATGCTCATTTATGTCATCTCCTTGTTTCTTTATACCTCTACACCTAAATAATAAATGTCCTGAACTTATTTTACTTCCATTCCTTTTACATCCAATCGATTCGAACATTTTTCATACTTATCATCACTGTCAACGAAGCGTCAGCTAATGGCAATCTTTTTAAAATTAGTTAAAGTCTGAATTGTCTTGAACAAGAGCCGCATAAATTTTAAGAGGAAAGTACAAATGGATTTTTAATGACGTGGAGTTTCGCTGCAGTAACATTAAAATGAAATTTTAACAATATAAACTAAAAATAATTTTAAATGCGGTTAAAAGTTATAAAGCTGGAAAGAAACAATTTTATTTTGGTCAAAAGGTAAAAACGTTTGGAAAATAAATACATTTTCAGTTGGTATCCGATAGTGTATAGTGTTGTTAAAGTACTTGTAACTATTATAGCAATTTCCGTGTTCTCTACTACAAAAAAAAAATTAGAAACTTTAAAGAGAACTTAGGGCCCACTTTCAATCAGAATTGTTAGAAATTCTGTAAAAAAGTTTACAAATAAAAAGCTACAGTATGTTGGGTTCGTCTCTGCATCAATTTGATTCAAATACATGTTGATGGACATCTTATGTCGGCATATTTTTTATATATTTATAATTTCAGACTAGTTTGAGGCATCCGGAATGTACGTCAGCCAGGGAAAACCGCGATACCGTATTCTGTCAAATGAGAAGAGCAATGGATCTTATTCATTACGTAGTGAAAGATGGTGTCTTAAATAGTGCCGATTCAAGTGTTCAATCAGTCCATAAGGAAGGACTATGTGAAAGCGACAAAGGGACGGCATATGCCTGTATACAGCATTTGCAGTATCTTCTTGAACATAGTAAAATCTCTATGGGTGAGTAAAAAAAAGTTTTATTGAATAGTTCTATTTAAAAAGTTCTACATGTACAAAGGTCTGTTCTTTATTCATAATATTTAACATACCTCGTATACTATTGTAAAAATGTGATATCTAATGATTGCATTTTAGGTTTCAGACCATGAAGTTAATATTAAAATAGTTTCCCATAAACAGCAAACTTAAGTGTATTTGACATTGGAGCCTTTATTTCACCACTATTTCCAAACTAATAGATTTATAAACTTCAAAATTTCAGAAAATACTTATAAAAAGTATAAAAACATTATTCTGCAAACAACATTGTCAAATTTTAACATGTGTTGAAGTTAGAGAGTGTCAAAGTTGAATTCTTATTTGTTATAAATTTGACATTGGCGCCTTTATTTCGTCACTATTTCCAAACTAATAGATTTATAAACTTTAAAATTTCAGAAAATACTTATAAAAAGTATAAAAACATTATTCTGCAAAGAACATTGTCAAATTTTAACATGTGTTGAAGTTAGAGAGTGTCAAAGTTGAATTCTTATTTGTTATAAATTTGACATTGGAGCTTTTATTTCGTCACTATTTCCCAACTAATAGATTTATAAACTTCAAACTTTCAGAAAATACTTATAAAAAGTGTAGAAACATTATTCTGCAAACAACATTGTCAAATTTTAACATGTGTTGAAGTTAGAGAGTATCGAAGTTGGCTTCTTATTTGTTATAAATTTGACATTGGAGCTTTTATTTCGTCACTATTTCCAAACTAATAGATTTACAAACTTCAAAATTTCAAAAAATACTTATAAGAAGTGTAGAAACAATATTCTACAAACAAAATCGTCAAATTTTAACATGTGTTGAAGTTAAAAAGTGTCAAAGTTGAATTTTTATTGTTATAAATTTGACATTGGAGCCTTTATTTCACCACTATTTCCAAACTAATAGATTTATAAACTTCAAACTTTCAGAAAATACTTATAAAAAGTGCAGAAACATTATTCTGCAAACAACATTGTCAAATTTTAACGTGTTAGAAAGTGTCAAAGTTGACTTCTTATTTTTTTATTAATTTTTACATTGGAGCCTTTATTTCGTCACTATTTCCAAACTAATAGATTTATAAACTTCAAACTTTCAGAAAATACTTATAAACAGTGTAGAAACATTATTTTGCAAACAATATTGTCAAATTTTAACATGTGTTGAATTTAGAGAGTGTCAAAGTTGACTTCTTATTTTTTTTATAAATTTGACATTGGAGCCTTTATTTCGTCACTATTTCCAAACTAATAGATTTATAAACTTCAAACTTTCAGAAAATACTTATAAAAAGTGTAGAAACATTATTATACAAACAACATTGTCAAATTGTAACATGTGTTGAAGTTAGAGAGTGTCAAAGTTGAATTCTTATTTATTATAAATTTGACATTGGAGCTTTTATTTCACCACTATGTCCAAACTAACAGATTTATGAACTTTAAAATTTCAAGAAATACTTATAAAAGGTGTAGAAACATTATTCTGCAAACAATAGTTTAAAATTTTAATATTTGTTAGAGTTAAAGAGTATCAAAGTTGAATTCTTATTGGTTATAAATAAATATATTTTTTCGATTTTCTCTGATCGATAGAAAATTTCCCGATACGGATAAATTCTCATTAATCTAATTAGAAAACCAATTTTCCGAAGAAAAATTTGAAGTCAGTGTAGAAAGTAAGTTCTGTCAAGTAAAAGAAAAAAATAAAAACAATATTTTAAAAGAAATTAATTACTTTTGAAAATATTTTCTCTGTTCATACAAAAATATATTTTCTGAAAAACTTTTATTAAATATTTTACTTTTTGCATTAAAGCGATAGATGAAAGAGATAATTAAAATTAATCTCTTTCAGCTTCGCAACTGTTCACTAATTCTTTTACCTAGTAGATTACTAAGATAAACATTTTCCACCTCTTTTCTTTTATACGCGACAAGTTCTTTTTAAACGCGCTTGCTAGTTATGTCTACAAATTAAAATTAAATTTGCTTATATTTTTATTTGTTTTCAGACCCTTCCTGTCAAGAGACACTTCCGACTGCTTTAGAAGCTGTCTTAGAAAGAACTCAGGATTTCACTGACAGTGCCTATACTAGCCATGAACATAGAGAAGCCATTTTAGAATGTAGTGAACGACTTAAATCTGAATTAGATCAACTATTAGGACTTTACGCTAATATAGTAAGTACGAACTATATGAATTGACCCCTCATTTTGTGGGAAAGACAGAATTGTAAATTGAAAAATTATATTGTTAGTGTACAAATATTTTTTAAAATTAACCATGATCGAAAGAAACCTAGAAGATTTCTATGTGATATTTCTTACTTTTGGCATTTCTGGTAGGTATGTACGCGAAAAAATGGGTATTTTTAGAAAAACTATTCATTAAAAGCACAAATCCAAACCATTTTATATTGTTGAATGTTTATTTCGGTGATTAGGAGCGAAAAATTCATAAGGTAGCTTATCGCTCAAGTTTTTAGAAATAAAATTCATTTTAGATCCAGAATCTAATAGTACATTTGCTCTTATTTATTTTCAATTACTACAGAAAATTTTAAATTTAGTTTTTGTTGACATTGACTGAAGATATTGATAAAGAAAATGAGAGCGTTTAAAAGTAGGAATTTTTATTTATCTGTATTTTTTTGATATTAAGTGACACCAACATTTTTTTTCTTTTCTAACTTGTAATTTATACTTACAAAACTGACTCTTAAGATATTTGTTTTGCTTTTAAATACTACTCTTTATACATTAAAAATTACCACCAAAAACTTATCTGATCGTCTTAAATATGGAAAACAACTACTAAACAGGCATCAGACTGATACATAATCTCATAATTTGTTGTTTTAGATGGGTTACGAGGACGTTAGTAATTGCCCAGAATTGGACAACTCGATTCAAGTTTGTATAAATTCGGCTAGAGATTTATCGAGACATCTCGGCAACGCCGCCATACATCAGGCGCAGGATCTTAATACCGTGACCAAGCATGGACTGGAACTAGTGAGCGCGATTAGACAAGAGGCTACCATGTCGGAAATTGATAGACTGCATCACACCTCAAATGCCTTTCATGATTCCATTGATCATATCTTGGAGGTAAGTTAAGTTTAAGCTTAAATAATCTTAATTAAGCTTAAATAAGCTTAGAAAAAACTTTAAAAAGCTTAGAAAACATCTAACAAAGCTTAAAAAGGTTCAAAACGATTTAAAAATGTCAAAATAGATCTATAATATGTCAGAAAAATAATCCAAATCTGGTATTTAATATTTTTAAAAATGAAGCATTAATTTTGTAACAGTGTCATGTATGTTGCCTAATGGTGGAAGTGTAAACTGTGTTGCCTACCTTTTCAGTTGGCTATACGGATAATAACGTTTCCGAAAAGTCACGAAATGACTCGATCTAAGAAGGAAGAATGTACTTTGCACTTGTTGGTTGACTTTTGACTTTGATAACTTGCTATTATTGTTCGTTTTATGTTTTTGGTTAATAATTTAATTAAAGAACAGTTTTGGAAATAATAGTTTTAATTCATCGATAGGGATCTTGACAATTCAACAATAAACATTGACATTTTCGTTAGTAAAGTTAATATAAACAGGTTTGGATGCCTTTTTCTGGTATATTCTAGAGCTTTTTTAGGACATTTTTACTCTTTGAAGCTTTTTTAACCCTTTTTAGGCTTTGTTAATTTTTCTGACATATTTTAGTGCTTTTTTGGATATTTTCACTTTTTGAGCACTTTTAGGCTTTGTTAGATTTTTTAAGCTGTTTCTAAGCTTAATTAATCTTATTTAATCTTTTAAAAGCATATTTAGGCCTATTTTAGCTTATTTAAGTATGCTGAAGCTTATGTATTCTTTTTACGCTTTTTAAAGCATTGTTAAGTCCATTTTATCTCGTTTAGGCTTATTTTGAAGCCTTTCAGAGAAAAAGCATCCAAATCTGTTTATATTAACTTGACTTACGAAAATGTTATTAAATATTGTTAATAAACATTAACAATTTCGTTAGTAAAGTTAATATAAACAGATTTGGATGCTTTTTCTGGTATATTCTAGAGCTTTTTTACGGACATTTTTACTCTTTGAAGCTTTTTTAACCCTTTTTTAGGCTTTGTTAATTTTTTTAAGCTGTTTCTAAGTTTATTTAAGCTAAATTAATATTATTTAATTTTTTTTAAAGTATATTAAGGCCTATATTAGCTTATTTAAGCCTATTTTAGCTCATTAAAGCTTGCGTAAGATTATTTAAGCTTATTTAATCTTCACGCTTTTTAAAGCCTTTTAGAGACTTTATATGCCTTTTTAAGCTTTTTTAACTTTTTATGCTCTTTAGAGTTTATTTAAGCTTTTTTTAAAGCTTTTTAGGCTTCTTTATTCTTCTTTAATCTTCTATAAGTTTATATTAGCTTTACATATGAAAATGTTAATATTGTTAATAAACATTAACATTTTCGTTAGTAAAGTTAATATAAACAGATTTGGATGCTTTTTCTGACATATTTTAGAGATTTTATTAGACATTTTTACTTTTTGAAGCTTTTTTAACCCTTTTTTAGGCTTTGCTAGATTTTTAAACTGTTTATAAGCTTAGTTAATCTTATTTAAACTTTTTAAAGCATATTTAGGCCTATTTTAGCTTACTTAAGCTTATTTGTTCTTTTTTAAGAATATTTAAGTCCATTTTAGCGCATTTAAGCTTATTTTAGGCCTATTTAATGTTTTCACGCTTTGAAGCCTTTCAAAGAAAAATCATCCAAATCTGTTTGTATTAACTTTACTTACGAAAATGGTATTAAATATTGTTAATAAACATTAACATTTTCGTTAGTAAAGTTAATATAAACAGATTTAGATGCTTTTTCTGACATATTCTAGAGATTTTCTTCGACATTTTTACTTTTTTAAGCTTTTTTTAACCCATTTTTAAGCTTTATTAGATTTTTTAATCTATTTCTAAGCTTTTTTAAGCTTAATAAATAATATTTAAGATTAATTAGTCTTATGTAAGCTTATCTAGGCCTATTTTTAGCGTATTTAATATTATCTAAGCTTATTTACGCTTATTTTAGCTTATTAAATCCTATTTAAGCCTATTTAGCCCTTATTAAGCTCATTTAAGCCTATTATATAAGTCTATTTAATTTTTTAAAGCTTACAATCTTTTAATCTTTTCCAAGTTCTGAGATTTTTTAAAAGAGCTCTTTTAAGCTTTTTACGTATTTTTAGGCTTTTATAAATATTATTAAGCTTTTTCAAGCGTTTGTAAGCTTTCTAAGTTTCTTAAGCTTTTTTAAGCCTTTTTATGTTTTTTGAAACTTGTTTACGCTTTTTCTAAGCTTATTCAGACTTTTATAAGCCTTTAAGGCTTCTTTAAACTTCTTACACATATTTTAGAGCTTTTTTGGACATTTTTACTTTTTGAAGCTTTTTTTTAACCCTTATTTTGGGCTTTGTTAGATTGTTTAAGCTGTTTCTAAGATTATTTAAACTTAATTAATCTTCTATATGCTTATTTAGGCCTTTTTTGCTTATATAAGCCTATTTTAACTTATTTAATCATATTTAAGCTTATTTACTTTTTTACACTTTTTAGAGCATTCTTTTTAAGCTTGTTAAGGCCTATTTAAGCTCATTGAAGCTTAACGGAGCTTTTTAAATTTAAAAAGCTTATTTTTACGCTTTTTTAAGCATTTAAAGCGTTTTCATAATTTTTAAAGCATTTTAAAGTTTTTTAAAGCCTTTTAAGACTTTTTATGCTTTTTAGAACTTGTTTAAGCTTTAAAAAAGCTTTCTATAAGCTTAAAGAAGTCTTATTTCTTTAAGCTTTTTTAATCTTAATCTTTTTAAAGTTTTTTAAGCTCTTTTATAATTTTTTAAAGCTTTTTGAGCTTTTTTAAGCATTTTTGAATATTTTTTTAGTCCTTTCAAGTTTTTAATTTTTTTGATAGCTCTTTAAAGCCTTTTTAAAGCAAATTTAAGATTTTTAATCGATTTAAAGCAAATTTAAGCTTTATAAATATTTTTAAAGCCTTTAAAACTTTTTTAAGCATTTTTAATTCTTTTTAAGGCTTTTTAAGCTATTTTATGAAACTTTTATAAGCATATTAAGCTTTTTTTAATCATTTTTTAAACCTGTTTAGGTTTTAAGGCCTTTTAATCTTTTTTAAACATTTTTAAAGCTGTTTTAAAAGCCTTTAAGATCTTTTAAGCATTTCTTATGATTAATTTGATCATATCTTGTAGGTAAGTTTTATTAACAAAAAAGAATGAACTAAAATGTAATTATGGTATATTAGTATAGTAGTATTGGACAATTTAATAGTCATCTTAAAGAATTCTTAGTAAAAAAATGCCTTTTATACACTCGACGAATTTTTTTATTATGAAGACATTTTTTTTTATTTTATCATTCAGCTGCTGTTGGTAGTTCTTACAATAAAAAAAACCTCTCCTTCTTAAATTTCAGATTTGATAATTTTGTTATAGGTCTGTAAACTTCTGAGGAACGTCGCCATAAGCGACACCCTTCAAGTATCGGCGAAGTTCACGGAAATAAATCTCCGCGTTTACGGACCGCAAGTGATAACGGCGGCTAAATGTTTAGCCGAGTTTCCGAGCAGCAAAATCGCCCAAGAAAACCTCGAAGTGTTCGCCGATATGTATCAGTGGCTCATTTCGGATGTGACGACAATGGTGAAAGATGTCATCGATGCCAGTCAGTCGAGACCGGAAAAGCAAGTTTATATGTCGCTTCCTAGACCAGGGGTAAGGTTTTTTACTATTTAAGTAGTCAGATATCGATTAGCGTTTTTATAAACACGTAAATATATAAAAAGGTTTTTGTTACAATTGCGACATAAGCTATAAAATAAAAAAAAACAAAAATAAAAAAAACAAAAATGACAAGAAATAACAAAAAATAACAAGAAATAACAAGAAATGACAAGAAATGACAAGAAATGACAAGAAATGACAAGAAATGACAAGAAATGACAAGAAATGACAAGAAATGACAAGAAATGACAAGAAATTATAGTAAATTATAAGAAATTAAATTATAAGAAATTATAAGAAATTATAAGAAATTATAAGAAATTATAAGAAATTATAAGAAATTATAAGAAATTATAAGAAATTATAAGAAATTATAAGAAATTATAAGAAATTATAAGAAATTATAAGAAATTATAAGAAATTATAAGAAATTATAAGAAATTATAAGAAATTATAAGAAATTATAAGAAATTATAAGAAATTATAAGAAATTATAAGAAATTATAAGAAATTATAAGAAATTATAAGAAATTATAAGAAATTATAAGAAATTATAAGAAATTATAAGAAATTATAAGAAATTATAAGAAATTATAAGAAATTATAAGAAATTATAAGAAATTATAAGAAATTATAAGAAATTATAAGAAATTATAAGAAATTATAAGAAATTATAAGAAATTATAAGAAATTATAAGAAATTATAAGAAATTATAAGAAATTATAAGAAATTATAAGAAATTATAAGAAATTATAAGAAATTATAAGAAATTATTAAGAAATTATAAGAAATTATAAGAAATGACAAGAAATGACAAGAAATGACAAGAAATGACAAGAAATGACAAGAAATGACAAGAAATAATAAGAAATAACAAGAAATAAATAACAAAAAATAAAATAAACAACAAAGTACAAAAAACAAAACACCTATAAAACAAATATTGCTTCTAAAAATAATATTTTCCTTCTAAATTTATAATTCTCTACAAATGATTAAGATTTTTTAAAGCTTGTTTAAGCTTTTTTATTCTTCTTTAATTTTCTATTAGTTTTTTAAGCTTTTTTATGATTTTTAAAGCTTTTATAAGTGTTTTAAGCATTTTTAAGATTTTTCACCTCTTCCGGTCATTGTCGATAACTTCTTCTTTTTTGGATACTTCTTTAGGACTACTTTTGGAATAATGGTGACTTTGGCCCTGGTAGTAATTCTTCTTTGTGCCCCTTGAAGCAGGACATAAAATATACCACACCTGAAAACTAACGATTAAAAAGTGTTCACGGCCCACTTGCTACTGCTTATGTAGTTGGCCACTACAGCGGCCTCTCTCGAGGGCCTGTTTACCTTAGTTGTGTCTCTTTTTAGAAAAGTTTCGAATATAAGTGAGTTCGTTCCTACTTATTCTCCGTAAAACTTCCAATTGATTTTTTATAGCCTTAGCTGTATTCCCTCTCACTTTTGCCAGTCTTGCTGTCGCAAAATTTTCCGAAGCTGTTGCGTTTAGCTTTCCAGATTAAATAAAACTTTAATTGATTGGTTTAAAGAATGTTGGTGTGAAATTTTCAAAGAAATAAGTTAACCCCGAAACCTGTGGTAAATGGTACGTCGATTAAAAGCCTAGAACACAATAAAATGTTCGATGATACCAAATTGCAACTTTTGGCGAATGTGCCATAATATTGTAATAATATATGATCATGGAATTTGGTGAAACAATCGAAATCCTTCACCTTTTTATTTAAATAAGCTGTGTTGCTGTGGCAGAGTCAGTTGGAAATTGAGATAAAGCTATGATAGTAATGATTATTAATCTCAACTTTTATAAAATATAGGGCGTTCAAAAAGTTTGGGTTAAAATTGTTTTCTTAATCCTTGATTCTACACCAATGGGTTATCGAAATTTACCAAAATAGAGTGTGTTAACTAATAATGAGGATTAATTAACATATACACATTTTTACTTTCCTATCTGTATACAGATATAAGGAAAGTATAGGAATCATGATTTTTTTCGACCTCGAGTTTTCGACGGATTTTTACGTTTTGAGGTCCCCTGAATCCGTTTTGACTATTTTCGCGATGATGTCTGTGTGTGTGTGTGTGTGTGTGTGTGTGTGTGTCTGTGTGTCTGTGTGTGTGTGTGTCTGTATAACGCATAACTCATGAACCGATACACAGAAAAACACCAAATTTTAAACTTAAGCTTTGTTTCAGCGTCCAATGAGCTGATTAGATTTTGGGCAGAGTCGGAACATCTGGGGGGGTACTTTATAGGTGGTCATTTTTATATTTTATGGAATATATCTGTTATTTACGTTTGGAGAAGAAAATTCTTCAAATAAAAGTTACTTCTAATATAATTATCTATAATTTTTGTTATATGCAAAATTTTCCTAAAATGGTCTGTATTCGAGAAATTTGACAAAATGTAAAAAAAATAATTTTTTATAAAAATTGTTCAAATAAAAGTTGTTTGTAATATAATTCTCTATAATTTTTATTCTATACATAATTTCTTTAAAATGGACCGTATTCGAGATATTTGAGAAAATGTGTAAATTTCGAATTTTGAAGAAAACTCAAAAACGGATATAGAAAAAAACATTAAATTTTAAACTTAAGGTTTATTTCGGCCTGACGTGCAATGATTAGATTTTGGACAAAGTCGGAACATCTGGGGGGGGTACTTTATGGGAGACCGTTTTTATATTTTATGGAATATATCTGTTATTTATGTTTGGAGAAGAAAATTGTTCAATTAACAGTTACTTCTAATATTATTTTCTATAATTTTTGTTTTATGTCAAAATTTCCTGAAATGGTCCGTATTCGAGAAATTTGACAAAATGTGCAAAATTCTGATTTTTTTTGTTTTTACGTAATAACTAGATAGGAAAGTCATGTGTTGGACACATCAGATTTTTAAGTTAATAAACTCTTTATCGTAAGAAAAGATATTAAATTAATAAATTTACTTTATCACCCTGTAGAATGAAAACTAAGACCTTCACAGGAAAATTTTATTTATATTTTCTTATTAATTAGTTAATATCTACAAATCTCCAGTTCATGATACTTTATTTTGAAAACCCCTGTATAAAAAAACAAGTCTCAAAATGCAGATTTATTACTGCGGTAGTACATTTAATTTTTGTTTGTTTTCCGAGACGATTCAGAAAAGAAAAGTAAATATAAAAATGGATTAAGTAGTCGCGATAAAATGTTTTTCATCTTCTTCCGTAGGGAAACTAACAAATTTTACGTAACATCGGATCGTTTGGTCGCTGCCGGAAAATCCGAATCAATTTTTATTACGGTGAACGATTTCGGGAGCCAGTCACGTCGGCACCTTCATTTCAGGCACGATGTTGCCGTATCTGTTTCGTAATCTAACATTGATCCGGGATTATTTAAACTCGTTTCAAAATTTACTTTAGAATATTTCATAAATAATATTATGTAAATAAAATTTTGGTAAAAATCGAGATACGATGTTCTTATTAGCGATTGTCGAAGAGTTTAATTAAAATTGCATTTATAATAAACACGGAGTTCGACTAAAAATGCTTACCCTAAAAATTTATTTTATTATTTTACTTATAAATTTAAGAAATAATACTCAAAACCAATCCAATGAATATGGACGTCATCCCCGAGAATTTTCCTGTCAAGACAGCCAAAAATAACCCGAAAATCATTGTGAGGAAGTTTTTTGTGGTGCTGAATCCAAATTTCACGTCGAAAACGACCCCCTTAACACTTGGTGCACCGGAACCTGGACGCGGACCTCATCTCCGTGAGTTTTCCTCACACCAATCGAAATAAACGAACCGAAAATCGTTATAGGAGATTTTTGAGGCCCTTAATTCGAATTTCCCGTCGAAACACCTGGTTCACAGGAACCTGGCCCTGAACGTTATCTTCGTGGGACTCTTCCAAAATTCACGCGGGAGAGGAGAAAAATTCGACTCCTGGGGTTTTTCTGAGTCGCTGAATTCAAATGTGATATCGTCGAACACCTTCCGGACAACTGGTATGCCCCAAATTTGGACGTGGACGTTATCTCTGAGAATTTTCCTGACAAGAGAGAAAGTTTCTGTGTATACTTACACAAAAGCGTTTCGAGTGTTGGGAGTAATCCTCTGCAGGGCCGACAAGAGAGAGAGAGGGGGCAGCCGGGACAAATTCCCGGGGACCGGGCTCAAATGGGAACCCGGCGGCGGTATAAGGGGGACCCAGCAACCGTGGGGAGTTTTTTTTCTTTCAGAAGTTCGGCACAAGACAAGAGGGGGAAGTTTTTGCTTTGGGACCATTTTTTTTTTTTAAATTCAGAGGAGAAATTTTGCTTAAAAACTTTCTTTTAGAGAATTTTTTTATAAAATTGTCACGGGGCCCGATCTGGAAAATTGTCACTAGGCCCGACCTGGCTGTCAGCGGTCCTGATCCTCTTTAATTTATCAGAGGATGAGTACGATAGTTTTGCTACGGATTTCAGTTCTGTATCGGGCCACTAGGTTTATAATCTACAAATTTATTATTTTCAAAATTGTGTTTACGTTCGAACGCCAGGTAAAGTAAAGTTCGTATCGGTTCGTTAGTGACTCACAACCGTCTATGGCGAAGCCCGAAAGGGTAGTCAAACACACCGTGTGAAATTATGAGACGATTTTCAGTTAGTCTTTTGCGATTGTGTCTGTAAAACCATGGAGAAGACGCTCAGCCGGAGGTTCCGGTGCACCAGCTGTTGGCAGGGTCGTTTTCGACGTGAAATTCAGATTCAGCGCCCCAAAAAACCCTCCATAACGATTTTCGGTTCCTCTTTTTCGATTGTGTGGGGAAAATCCTCGGAGATGTCGTTCAGAGCCAGATTCCGGTGCGCTAGGTGTCCGAGGAATTGTTTTCGACGTAAAATAGAAAGGATGTTTTTTTTTTAAATATTTGCAATTTTAGTTCGTTCCTTCTACATAAATTTTGTTAATGAGCTGCATCTTTTCATGGTCCTGTATTTTCCACACTAATTGAATTTTCTATTAATCATTTTACCTAATTTTTTTCCCACCCTGACAATTTTTACCTTGCACAATAATAACTTCTCCGTTAGTTGGTTTTTGAATGGAACTTACGTTTGTAGTTTTTGATACAGTAAATTTTTCAAATACGTCAAAAATCATTATTTATAACGAAAATTGCATGTATATAATACTTTTTGACCTTTATATTTGTCCCAGTTAAATTTCTTCAGACAAAATTCAGATCTGGCAACGCTGTTCTCATATAAGATAAGGTCTTTCAGTAAATACTTCAGTTTGTTGTCTGAATTTAATTGGAAAATCTAAGCCAGTTCAGTGAAACGTAATCGCAAATTTAAAAAAATATATTATTTGGTGTTTATTATAATTAACAACAATTAAATGTATTCATATAAATGGTTGTGGTTTAATCAGTTTCATGCTGAAGATGTAAGTTATTTAATATACTTAATTTATTCTATTGTGGGAAAAACCGAAAAAATAGTATTTTAGTAAAATATAAGGTACATTTAAATCTTATACCGAGGCCTAATTTTGTTTGTCTATTAAAAAAAAAGTCCTGATGAGTCCCTGGACGAGAAGAGAGTGTCCCCGTCATAATATTGTTTTTTTCTCTTCTTCTTCTTTCTGTTAGAAAATGTTCTTCGGTAGTTTTAATTATGGACGAATCTGTGTCTGGCTGAATATCAATAAAAAAAATCTTATAAAATATAAAAATCTCGTATAACGATGTATGTTCGGGATAAACGTTGAAACTACTGTATCAATTTTGATCAAATTTCCTAACTGTCTGTAATTTGGTCCAACCTAAAAGATAGGATAGTTTTTATTTCAATTATTGACCTCGATATTTGTTATTGCAAACAATAGCTGTCAGCGGGAAGGGTTTGTAAATCTAAGAGGGTTGCAACATAGTCTTCCATCTTGGACGCTATTTTTTTTTTTTTTTTTTTTGAAATAGTAGTCGCCAAGTCTGCCAATTTATAGAAAATATATAAGCAGTGTATTTAAAAATATTTTTATTGTGTTCAACATAAAATATTTAAGTTTCATCCATTATTTATGATTTCATATAATGCAGATAGACTACATCGTATGTCGCAACCCTTTAAACATACTAAACCATTTGTTTGGAATGACTAAATGGTGTGTATTTATTGGTTAGTTCTACGAATTCCTTAAATTACAACGTTTACGTTTTAAAGTATTTACAAGTTCAACACCCTTCTTCAAATTAAAAAAAAAAGTACTATTAAAACGTTAACCACAAATTAACCATCCATAATTCAAATAAATTGTAACAGATTCTAAATCTATTGCACTAATCTGCCAAAATAACATGTTTAATGATTCAAATTATCTCTGGAATTTTTTTGGCAATACATTATTGCCCTAATATTGAAATAGAAGAATTTCTTTTAGTCGTACCCTACTTTTATTCAATTTTTACAACTTATTTTTTAATTAAATTTAGAAACATGGAACTACCTCAAAACCTCTGAAAGCAGTAAGACTAGATGTAGCCGAACAAGAAAAAATTGCCAAAACCGGTCTCGAAATGAAAATGGCGACCACCGAAATGGATGCCGAAACCGACAAATGGCAGGAAAATAACAGTAGTACTCAATTAGAGGTAATTATGTTTTTAATTGGTCCATAAATAATAAAAACAAAAAACTATCTTTATTTTATCCCATATCTAAGTAACAAGATTAAAATTTTTATTATATGGTATTGTTTAAAAATGTTTGATTATACAATAATTATATTTTTTTTCGGTTACTCTACACTTTTGAGGTAAAAATAGTATTTATGTTTTTGCTTTCTCGTTTTAGGAAAATAATGATATAGTTAAGAGGGCCAAAAATATGTCGGCTATGGCATTTTCAATGTACCAGTTTACAAAGGGTGAAGGAGACTTAAAAACAACGCAAGATTTATTTACCCAAGCTGAATATTTTGCAGAAGAGGCCAATAGATTATATAAAGTAATCAGACAATTCAGCTATCAGGTAATGTATATTTTATTATAGAAAATAGAAAACGTATTGTTTTTAGTTCATATACAAAACTTTTTCTATATAAATAATTATTTTTTTGTATTATAGGTTAAATATTGTAGCCATTAATGAATAATGATTGGTCTATAATTAAAACACACTTTAGATTCTTATTAATACTAAAATATTACAATTTAACTTCTTATCATAATAACAAGCAAAATATTATTAAAAAAATAAATCTAGTATTTTTTTATTTTTTTATTAATTTCAAATTACCCAATTTGTCAAAAATACATTTCATATCACAATTTCGGGGGAATAGTAATTTATCCTTGGGGGAATCATAATAACCTCTTTCAAAGAACGTCTAACCAATTTAATCGTGTTCCAGTCATTATTCTTCATAAAAAATTAGAATTTAAAAAAGGGGGGTTGTAACGAACGTTATCTTTTCTTCATCTATACAAAAATCGAAAAAAAATCCTTTTTTTCTTCTAATTTCATTAATTTGTAATTATAAAAATTTTCTTTATCGATTATTCCAATTTCTGTCTTGTTTTAAATTCATATTTCTCTAATCTAGGTATATTTTTGTTGTATTTTTATTAAAAAACAACTCTTTGTAGTTTTCAAAAGGTCCTAGAATTACTCGGTTTTATAAAATCCCCCAATACATAGAAAAACAGTTTGACAAGGTCAATTATGATAAATGACTTTTGATTTTGGCAACGCAACGCAATACAATGGAATATTTGGCAACTAGAGTACATAATTTTGTTGGCTTATAGTGTATTTTCTGAAATCGTAAGTCTTTATACAGAACCTGGTGGAAAAAAACAATGTTATTTATTGGAAAATTTCCAATATTACGAAAATAGTATAGTTTTGTAAAACAGTTATGAAAGTTGTTATTTTTATAAGGTGAAAAACCTTTTAAGTGATTGGTTTCTTAATATTTGTTTTGTAATATATTAAGAATATGGTTTTCTAGAATTACATAACAGAAATTTACTTTTCGGTACCCTTATATATAAAAAAAATTCAAGGTATTAATGCAATGATAAAAACTTTGTTCAGATTGTTGAAATTCCGAGTGTAAAGTCGAAATATCGAAATAAAAGTCAAAACTCTCAAGTTTACAGAATACATTCCGAGTTTAAATACGAAATTTCGACATTTAAGTTAAAATTTCGTGTTTAAAGTCGAAATTTGTAAGTTTAAATCGAAATTTTGTGTTTAAAGTCGAAATTCTAAGTTTAAAGTCATAATTTCGAGATAAAAGTCAAAATTTCGTGTTTAAAGTCAAAATTATAAGTATAAAGTCAAAATTTCCAGTTTAAAGTCGAAATTTTGGGATAGAAAACGAAATTTTAAGCATATAGTCCAATTTAACGTCGAAATTTTGAGAGTAAATTCGTAATTTTGTATTTAAAATCAGAATTCCCAGTTTAAAGTCAAAATTACGAAACAAAAGTTGAAATTTCGCGATTAAAATCGAAATTTCTAGAATTAAGTCAAAATTTTGTTTTTAAAGTCGAAGTTCCAAATTTAGAGTCCTAATTTCGAGATAAAAATTGAAATTTCTCGATTGTAGTAAAAATTGTAAGTATAAAGTCAAACTTTTCAGTTTAAAGGCGAAATTTCGAGATAGAGAGCAAAATTTCAAGTTTAGAGTCAAATTTAACGTCGAAATTTCGAGAGTAAAGTCGAAATTTTATGTTTAAAGTTGGAATTCCCTGTTTAAAGTCAAAATTACGAAACAAAAGTTGAAATTTCACGATTAAAGTCGAAATTCTAACTTTAAAATCAAAATTTCGATAATAAAGTCAAAATTAACCTTGTCAGAGAGATTATACATTGAAAATATATTTTTTCTACTACTTCAAAAGTGTCACAAATGGGTTCTTTAAAAAATACTGACTTAGACTATTTTTCCTTTGGAGTTTAATGTCTAAATTTAGTGTTTAAAGTCGAATTGTCTAGGTTATAGTCGAAATTTTGTGTTTAAAGTCGAAGTTCCAAGTATAAAATTAAAATTTCGAGATAAAAAACGAAATTTTAAGTTTAAAGTTGAATGTAACGTCGAAATTTCGAGAGTGAAGTCGAAATTTTGAGAGTAAAGTCGAAATTTTATTTTTAAAATCGGAATTCTCACTTTAAAGTCAAAATTTCGAAAATAAAATCAATATTAGCCTTTTCTTTACTTCTTAAAAAGTACATAGAAGCCTTTAGAGCGAATGTAATTTATTTTTCTAGCTATTCAAGGATGAAATATACCACAAATGGGTTGCTTAAAAAATACTGACAAAGGAAGGCTATTTTTGCTTTCCTTTCTGTATACAGATACATGATAAAAGTCGAAATTTCGAGATTAAAGTCGTAATTTGGAGTTTAATGTCTAAACTTCGAGAACGAAGTCGAAATTTCGAAATTAAAGTCTTAATGTTAAGTTTAAACTCTAATTTTCGAGATTAAAGTCATAATTTTGAGATTAAAGTCGAAATTTCGAGATTAAAGTCGAAATTCCGAGTTTATATAAATATGTATTTCATAAAATAATATTTAAAAATAAACTTTTATAGAATATCTTTATATTTTTCGCGGTATGTACTTTTTTAAATATTTCCAAAAGAATATAAATAAATATTTGCAATATTTTAAAAAGTATTCCATGAATATTCTATTAATAACATTTATAAAGTCAAAATTTTGAGATAGAAGTCAAAATATCGAGTTTAAAGTATAAATTCTGGATTTAAAGTAGAAAATTAAATTCGAGCCCGAGTGAAAATGTTTTGATTTGTCCTGTATAGTTTTAATTAGATTACTATCTTGATTTAAATTGTTTATCATCTATATAAAGTCAAAATTTTGAGGTAGAAATCGAAATATCGAGTTTAAAGTCTTAATTCTAAATTTAAAGTCGAAATTTCGAAATTAAAGTCGAACCCGATTGAAAATGTTTTGATTTGTCCAGTATACTTTCAATTAGATTATTATCTTGATTTAAATTGTTTATCATCTATATAACACCAATACAAAAGTATTTCATGAATATTCTTTTAATAATATATATAGAATAATCCGCAAATTAAATTATTGTTCCTTTCGTTATATAAAAAATATTTATTGTTAATGTATACGTTAATTCTGTTTTAATTTAGGTTCCTTGCGGTGCCAACAAGAAAGAACTCTTAGCACATTTAGACAGAGTGCCAACGTTTGTTCAACGATTGCAATTCACTGTCAAAGACCACACAGTCGGTAAAGCAGCCACCTTTACGAAAGTCGATAATGTGATACAGGAAACCAAAAATCTTATGAACGCTATTTCCAAAGTAGTAACTACTTGCTTTGAATGTGCCACTAAAGTAAGTTGTAAACTTCGTATAGTAATAAGTTTGATTAGAGAGCTTCTGGAAACTTCTTTTGGCATTCTTTCGGTGTTTAACATTGGTTTTAAATGGAACTACTATTTTTTTTTTGTTTTAAGACTATTAAATTTACATTTTTAACATAGTTTGTTAAATTTAACAAAGGAAAAGAATCTAAGAAGAAAGTTTGCTCTTAATTTACCATTTTTAAGTATTATATGGTGTATAAATGTAAGAAATAATTGATTTTTTTCAATATTCATTACATAAAAAAAAATACAAAAATTATGTGTCTTTATGATTTTTTTCTTTTCTTTTTTCTTCATCTTTTTTTTTTCTTTTTTATCTTTGCTTTTTCTGTCGCTTCTTTTTTGTCTTTTTTCTTTTTGGTTTTTCTTTTTTGTCGCTTCTTTTTTTGTCTTTTCCTTTTTTTGTCTTTTCTCTTTGTTTTTTTTTTCTTCTTTTGTCCTTTCTTCTCAGGTTTGTTTCTCTTTGGCATTATATAATTTAATATACCAATATACAATGTCTAATAAATGAACTGAAAAAAAGTAGTTTAATTGTCGCAAAAACTATGTTAAACCACCTCTTATTAGACTTTCTTTCTGAAGTTCTGATGGAATGTTTTTTTTACCTTAATCTAGTCCTCTATAGCGTTACCGCAAAGAGTTAGAATACCATGTGCAACTTTAGATGGTAGACCATTACCTGAACAGTTAAATCCGCAAGTCCTTCATAGAATGATGACATTTCAAAGCTCTACTCTGCCGAGATAGATTTTTCGGTGATTTATCTTTTCATCTCGTTTTGTTGCCGTTAACAAAGTCTCATTATTTTTCTAACTCTTTAAATTTACTTATAAGTGATATGAATAACTTAAATATTATTTATGATATGAAAAAATGATAATTTTTGATTGATCTATTTTGTGCAAATCAAAACATTTCTAATTTATCTTATAGTTCAATCAAATAGACCTTTATATATACAAGATTTTTGATTACTTTGAACTATTTAAAAACGAAATGTAAGGAGTGAAAAAAATATCAATAGAAATCAATAAATATCAATAAATATCAATAAATATCAATAAATATCAATAAATATCAATAAATATCAATAAATATCAATAAATATCAATAAATAACAATAAATAACAATAAATAACAATAAATATCAATAAATAAGTGAAATTTCTCATAGCTTGCTCTGGCATGAAAAATATAGGAAGTGAATCATTAAAAACGACATATCTCGACGTTGTTCGTGCATTGTCGTTATGTTACGTATTTGTGTACGTGGATTTCGTTTTCTTTTTTATTTCATTGGCATTTTTTCAGCCAAATTTTTCATATTTTGAATTCATTAGACTTATCTATATTCTATTTTGTCAAGAAAAGAAAAAACTTACACAATTTTTAAGAATTTGATTTTTTTTTGAGCCAAATTTTTCTTTTTATATCAAATATGCATTTTTGAGCTATTTTTGAACCAAATTTTGTCAGTTTTAGTTATTTATTTACTCCTCGAATCCTGAAAAACATTTCTTTTTTTGCCTAACATTTTCAAATACTTCAAAAGTGACTTATATCGAGAATTCCTGATATAAAGATCTATTTGATTGGATTAATAATTCTAAAATAGTTTTCAAGATAGACAAAACTGTATTGGTATAAAATAGGAATCTACTTATTTTTTATTATTATATTTTTACTTTAAAATAGATGGATTTTTGTTATTCATATCATTTAAATATTTAATACTAACACTCTTACAGAACACAGAAACAAACAAAATCATTACTTGAATCTACTTAAAATTCCACATAAAATTTCCTACATTTAAACAAAATTTTTAATAATAATTAAAGGAAAACAATTTAAATAGAATATATTTGTAAATAATTCAATTGTATAAAATTTATTGTTAAAAATTAATGTAAAAATTAAAACGCTTATAAAATAGAATAGTGTTTAATAGTTAAAATTATTTGTAGTTTTGAATTTAGCATTTTACAATTATCCTGAATTAAAATGCGATTTTTTTCGACATACTCTTAGAAAGATTTATAAACCGTTTTATGTTTTATACCAATTTATTGTTTACCATGTTTAAATATAATATTTTTATTGTATTTGTGTGACAAATTTACTAGGATATTTAATTTTTAATTACAGTAAGTATAAATAATCGAGTAAAAACAGTAAGCAGTTTAGAAAACATGCATATTTTTAGATATCAGTTGTCAAATGACAATATTTCGTTTAGTCCTTACAATAATCATTTAGTAATAGAAGATTTTCATTCAGAGAGATTAGATGGCTTTATAAACGATTAAATTAGCTGAAAATCTTAAATATATCCCCACTAAATACATTGATTTGAAGTTTCTGTCGATTTTATTTAACTTTTAAAATATACATTTAAATTTGTCAGACATAACCTGTATATCCAAAAATATTTACAAAACATCTTTTCTTTAAATCCATATAACTTTCATTTGAAACACAAATTGAAATATTTAACAATTGCGCACTAATGGGAGACCCTGTATTATTAGATAATTCAAACAAAGCAACTTTCTTGTGAAAACCAACTATTCAGCTATACAGGGTAAGTCACTGGACTCCGATCAAGATAATTAAACAATATAATGATTTGGAAACCTTTTGTTGTCTCCGATTTCCAGTCAATAAAATAAAATGAAAAAAAAAAACTAAAAAATTATATAAAAAGTACAAAAACTAAAAAAAAATTTACAAAAAATAAAAATAAAAAAACTACGAAAAACAACAAAGAAACTACAAAAATTACAGAAAACTACAAAAAACTACGAAAAAAGTACAACTACAAAAAATTACTAAAAACTACAAAAAAATATAAAAAAATACAAAAAAAATTTACCAAAAACGACAAAAACAGCCAGTAACCTGGGAATCAGCAAAGAGCATGAGGCAGAAAACCCTTTAGAAAAATGTTTTTCTCAAAAAAGTTTGAAGAAACACAAAAAAAGTCAGGAGAATATCGAGAAAATCATTAAAATCCAGGACAAAGAGGACGAAATAGGGAAATAATACTAGACAGTGACGAAGGCTCAATTAAAGATGGTAGTATGCAGGTGGATACCGAAGAATCGAATCAAAAAAGTATGGAGAATACTAGAACATCGGTCATGGCCCTATTTTAGGGACATTATGATATAGGATGAAGATTTTTGAAATGAAATGAATGAATAACAAGCCCGAAATTTTCAAATTCGTTATTGTTGCTCTGGCGGAAGGTGCGTCATTCACTCAGCCTGTGAGGTTTAATAAACAATCTTAGGCTATACAAACATACAAAAACAACCTTGTTTTTTCTCGATTTTTTAGGGGATAACAACCATAATTAAAACTCGACACATTCTTATTACCTATAACAAAATATTCAACGACGAGGTATTCTAATAATTGGACTAATTAAATGATTTCATTTATATAATAATAACTTATTATTTATTAGATTATTCATTACATTAATATTGCTTCGGTAAGATGTGAGGGCTGCAATGTTCATCACTTTTTTATAGGCGTATTTTATTCTCCATAGTTTCCAAAATTTTTGATATATAAACTAAACCAATTTAATAACACAAAAAAATTGACAGAGACCGAAAATCATTGTAATCTGTAACATATAGGTTAGGTTTCAGAGAAAACACAACCGAATATACAAATCCCCTTTTCACTCTCTAAAATAAACAACTACAATTCTTTTAGTTAAACTCTCTACTTCCGTAGTTATTGATTGTGAACTATCTTTTATTATTAGCATAATATTGGCCATCCAGACCTTCAAAATCCTATTAATAACGGAGCCGAAGATCAGGTTAATTTTTGATGGTGCTAGTTTGTATTTGTGTTCGTTTTAGTTTTGTGAGGTAGATCAAAGTCATGTGTTCATATCTTTATTTTGCAAAAACAAATATATAGTACATGCAATCATGCCAAAAATTTCAAAGATTTTATAACAAATAACGAAGAATATTATGTAATTCAAGTCTCTAACAGGCATTTTTAAATGTAACAATTTCTTAAACTGTTTGAATAATAAAAGGCATTTTTATAGCTGTGACTTAGAAATTAATCTATTTTTATGCTAATTATTAACCCACTTTAAATTTATTCACAAAAATTAATCGTGTATTTAAGATCTTTTCAATTTATATCCTTAAAATGTCTGGTAGCAATTTTTTACATAATTTTCTTCTAATGCTAAAAATTATAAAAGTTCTATAATGTTCTCTCCATCAATATCTATTTTAATAACGGTCCAAATTTAATAAATTATTTAAATATTGATTTAATATAAAATAATAATACAAATTTAATAATCAGCGTCATTTTGTATATTTCACAATTCATCTTGTAAATAACCTCATTGATTCTGCTAATTTGGGTGTATATTTTCCGTCATTTTAATTTTCCTCAAATATCTTAATACTCCTTTTCTATCTATCTAGGATACTTAAGTGCTTTCTTCAGCTTTTTAATGCAGAATATGTACATTAATATTTTATTTCGTTAATTTGCATGTACTACAATGCTTATTAATAAACTTAGGTTTAAATGTTACTGAACAAGTGAAATTATCTTTCATTTTATTTAAATATTTAATTTTTTAATTTGTTAAAAAGATAATTTCATTTGATTCAAACACGTAACATAATTATTTAACATTGTACCAACTATAATATACAAATAATATTACTAAAACAAAATGAAACTTTTTTTTATACCAATTTTTCAGTCGGATGGTAATTTATAAATAATTTGTTTTAGTTTAGTAGAAAGACTAAATTTTGATTTTATTTTAAAACTAGTGACAGTAAAATTATTATTTTAGCATGAATTAGTTGAAAAAAATTGAATGCATTTGGTAGACCGATTGAAGAATTTGGATATTATGAAATAAATATTTTTATACGTCCTTGTTGAAATGTAGTATGTAGTTTATAAAGGCTTCTTGAAACCCAACTAAAATTGAAACGTATAAAAATATTAATGAAAATTTATACTTTCATTAGAAATTTAAATTAGAAAGGAGTAAAATATTTTTTTACTATGTTTATACGGGTTTTTCTTAACAACGGCACGACATTTCAAACGATGATTCCCTTAGGTCAATTAAAAAAAAAGTTTCTATGAACTGGGGCATTTTTATTACAATGAAACACTAAAAAACCGTTGGCAACATCGCCAACTTCCAGATAAAAAAAAAAGTTCTTTATAACATTCGGTGTGAAAAATCAACATTGCAGTCCACAACAAGTTCGTTTACATCAGCCGTACTCATCCTGTGGCCCACGGGCCGCATGCGATTATTAGTCATTGAAATGGTTTGTCCTTGCGAATTTTCAAAGAAATAACACAACTAAAACAACATAAGTACGTTTTTTTAGAACATTGTGGCCCGTGTAGCATAACAAACAGATTTATGTGGCCCGAAAGAAAAAAAGGTTCAGTACAGCTGATTTACATCCAATAACTCCAAACGTATGTTCATAGAAACTTTTTTTCATAAAACGTTCTAAGGAATCATCCATTGAAGTTTCGTACCGTAGTTAGGAAACACTCTGTATACAATTTTAATTTCTCTTTTTTTATTTTGATTTCAACACAATTTACTATTTCAGCATACTTCACAAACCTACTCGAGATTTATAAACGACTACAATATATTTTCTGTACATATTTTATTTTAAAAACTAAAAAATCAAACTATTTTACAATTTTAAAGTGTTGCTTGATAGAAGTCATTTTTATTTAATTTTTTTTGTAAAAAATTTTCCTCTTTTTTCTTGAAAATTATAAGTAATTAAAATTTGAAAATTTAGAAAAAAAATGACCATGTCAATAGGTTTTTCTGAAAATAACTATAATTTTGACGAAACGTCTGGTAATCCTGTCAATAAATAATTTTGAAATTAATATTATTTCGTATTAAACAATTTAAAACAAAAATTTAAACGAAAAATTCAACTTATGCAATGCAACTCTTATTGAGGTGTTTACCAAGAGAGTGATTGTTTACAGGAAGAAAAGGGTCGTTCCATTCTTCTTTCTTTTTTGTTTACTTATTTCTTTTTACTTCCCTTCATAAAAGTAATTGTAAAAAATTCACCTTCTGAGATTATTTCATATTTTTACGTTATAGGGTCCCCAGATTACGAAAAAGATATTTCCCCATTCTGTCTGTCTCTGTCTGTCTGTTTGTCTGTCTGTCTGTCTGTCTGTCTGTCTGTCTGTCTGTCTGTCTGTCTGTCTGTCTGTCTGTCTGTCTGTCTGTCTGTCTGTCTGTCTGTCTGTCTGTCTGTCTGTCTGTCTGTCTGTCTGTCTGTCTGTCTGTCTGTCTGTCTGTCTGTCTGTCTGTCTGTCTGTCTGTCTGTCTGTCTGTCTGTCTGTCTGTCTGTCTGTCTGTCTGTCTGTCTGTCTGTCTGTCTGTCTGTCTGTCTGTCTGTCTGTCTGTCTGTCTGTCTGTCTGTCTGTCTGTCTGTCTGTCTGTCTGTCTGTCTGTCTGTCTGTCTGTCTGTCTGTCTGTCTGTCTGTCTGTCTGTCTGTCTGTCTGTCTGTCTGTCTCTGTCTGTCTGTCTCTGTCTGTCTGTCTGTCTGTCTGTCTGTCTGTCTGTCTGTCTGTCTGTCTGTCTGTCTGTCTGTCTGTCTGTCTGTCTGTCTGTCTGTTGTCTGTCTATCTGTTGTCTGTCTGTCTTGGCGTGAAAGCTCAAAAACAACTTTATAGAAAAATTTAAAATTGTATATGTAGATAAGTTTCCTTTCTGGCTCAAACCCAGTTATACTTCTGATCAGTTAGATACAGGGGGAGCAGAGATTATTTTTAAAAGTAGGCAGACTTCGAGTATAATAGGTATTTGAAAATTTTTGAAGCCCAGGATTACATAAATAAGTTTTTAAAAATTCAAAATGCGCTGAAAGAAATCCTATTTAATCAAAAAAGGTCCCATTTAAATGGAAAAATACAAATCGACCTTTTGGTTTGTGTAACTGGACCATTTTAATGACGAAGAATACCGAGTGACCGCAAAGTGAGAATTCGGGTAGGATCTAGAGGAAGATCGGTGGAGAGAGAAATGTGAAAAAGGGGTTTTGGTTTCGTAGTTTTAATTTTAAATTATTAAAGTTTGTTTAGGAGTTCCATACTTTTTACAATTTCTATATCGAGGGAAGTTCTGAGTAAAATACTTTACCGATTTATTTTCTTTATCTTATTTTTTCTTTGTCATTTTTTTTTTGTCCAAAAATTTAAACGCCATTGTAGTAAAACCTTTTAAGCAACACTTTAATTTTCCACTACTGTCAACTGAATATCTATCTACACCTTACTAACATTTTTATTGCAGTTGGCTTGACCCTCTTTGGTACTACATTAACATTGTGCTTTTTCAGCTTAAATCTACTTTCACTCGTTTAAACTTTTACTATAATATTATTTTTCTTTCTATTTAGTACAAACTAGAATTCCGCGGACCCGGTGCGGGTACTCGCAGAGGCTCTGGAGGAGAAGGAGGTTCGTCCAGCGCCGGAGCCAGCGGAGTCGACAGCAAGTCGGGAGGAGCGACAGGTTCCGATCAAAGTTTATGACAAATGGGGATGTCCCGGCGCAACAAGGGAGACTCGAGAAGGACTCGGGTCTCCTTCTTGTTGTTCTAGGACGTCAAGCAGCGATTTATATATTTTTTATCGATATTTTCCAATATTTAATGCATTTTTTGTTTAGTTAATAAGTAAATTTAAATTTGACTACCTTTACGATTTAAAATATTTTTTTATTTATATAGTAGTTAATTTGTTTAAGTATATTTTTAACTTTTTGACGTATTTCTTTAATATTTTCGAATATACTATTTATTTAAAACATTTCCTTATAATTTTCTTTGTAATATATATAAAAAAATTAAATTCATGACTATAATAAATAAAAAAGTTTGCTTGCTTTTAGCAAATCAAAAGATCCATTTTACTTAAAAGGTCGTTTTCAAAAAAAATACAAAAATACTTATTATGGCTGTTAGTTTTTAAATATATTTATTTTATATTTTTAGATCGTTAGAAATATAATTTTACGAGATGTATATGAAAATAAAAGTATTAATATATTTAAGAATAACAAAATGTAAAGTTCCTTCTTTTGATATTGTATGAGTTTTGCTTGAAATGGTCTAGTCAGAAAATTTAAACGAAATCCACAGATTTTTTTTAAAGATATTAGTGCAAGTATTGCTGCGTACATAAAACTTCAGTTGTTAATGAATATTCTATTAAAATTTAAACATCTATGGGATTTTAGTACCGTTTTAAAGATATATCTATAAAAAACGTTACAAAAATAACTAGTAATGTTTCATGTTTAGTGAGTTGACTATTAGGGAAAAAAGTTTTCGATTAGAAATAAAAATGCAGGAAATAAAAATAATTTCTCAGGTTAATGTTAAAAATTCATTATTAATTTGATTTAACAAATGTGTGCCATTAATATTTTAGTTATACAACAAGAAGTGATTTAATAATATGTACAATAAAAAGTGCCAAATTCGTTAATATGGTTCTTTTTATTAATATTTTATTTAGCGGAACAAATTTAATTTAATACTTTTATGAATTTCACTTTTCCTCAAATCCAGTTCTTCCAACTGTGGGTATTAATTCAAAAAAATCAACTTAAACCAACTTTCTACTAACTTTCAAAAATCTTGCATTATTCAAAAAAATTCTAAATTATATTATTTTTTGGCATCTTATTTACAATTTGTCTCTTTTTGGTGTAAGTTTTTGATTAATATTTAATAGAAATTTCAAATTTAAATAAAGATAATTTCAATTCTAATATTTGGAGGGTGCAAAGCTTTTGAAAGTTAGTGTATTTTCTTATAATTTGTTGTTTAATTTTTATTAAAACAGTAATTTATAAAAGGATAAATCCTTTGTATAATTATATCATTTTTTTATCCTTACAATTTTTATATTATCGCCAAAACATACCGATGATCTTTTGCAGCTTGTATCAATTTTAAGATATATTGTTTCTTAATTTACATAGCAAAGCTAAATATGGCTACAAATTAGCTACAAAACACTTTTATTATATTGTAGCCTTAAAAATTAGCATGCCTGAATAAAATATGCTAAGCACGTTTAGGACTTTCGAAAAAATTAAATCAGTTATATATAGAAGTTGAACAATTTTATTCTGACGAAGCAAAAGCAAAACTTCATATTTTCATAGCGTGTATTTGCTGATTGTGTTAATTTTAATAAATAATGTTTAAGGTTTGTGAGACAAGTGTGTAGATAAAAAATGTAAAACAATCATGATAATGACTGTAATAATGTAATTAATAATAAATAACTTACACCAATCATCTCTAATACGCGACGCGCTGTATAATAATTATTATTAGTTAATAGTGATGTAGTAAATATTTTGTTATCGATACAAAATTATATTTTAATTAAAAAAATATATTCTTGAAATTCCGAAATTTAATTGGTGTACTGAATAAATTTAAATATTTAACCCAAGCTTAATTATTTATTATAAATTATAACAGTACAGTACGAAGATGTAACAGTAGGTCCTTTATTTCTCATAAAATCAATTTATTGTAGACTGATTTCGATTCATCATCAGGCACAACTAAATGGAAAGTCGAGGAGTTAAAAGGTGAAAATTATTTAATATTAAATTGAAAATTTAACAAATAAAACAAAAAGGAGGTTAATAATTTGACTTACCATGACAGATAAGTTAAAAAGTCACTGTGAATATACAGGGTGTACCAACCTTGTGGAAGAGTTTGATATCCTATTATTAAGAAAATGAATTAACAAAATTTGTAGGGTGGCTTGAGGGTCACATTTTAAAATAACTAAGAGGTATACAGAGTGTTGCACGACTCGGATACGAACGAAACATGTAAAGTGTTACCGACTTTTTTTTTATTTGACAACTGCATATTTACAATAATTAAATGTGTTATATGAAGGTGACTTGAAAAGAGAAATCGTCCAGTGACGAACCTCCTATCGATACCATAGCTAGGGTTGTTGGCTGAAGATTAATCCTCGTCGTGTATCTACTGGATCAGGTCTGTGGTCCATTGTCGTTGTAATCTTCTTGTGACGTTTGGAGGGATGTTTAACTGCGCTATGTACAGATTTTCGTTGGCTTGTAGTCTATTGTGATATAGTCTTGAGAGTCTCTTTATTTCCTCTGTGACGAAAGAGACTTGTAGGTCATTGTGCAATGTGAAGTTGCTCACGTACTATGGTGTATTAGTTATTGATCTCAATACTTTAGATTTGTAGCCTTTGAATTAATATTGTATTGGATGGTTTGATACATCCCCGTAATTGTACTCCATATGTCCAAATCGGCTTCAAAATACATTTATATAGTAGTAGTTTGTTGTCAAGAGATAAATTGGATTTACGTCCTAGGAGCCAGGACATTTCTCTTACTTTTAAATTTAGTTGTTGCCTCTTTGTATGAATGTGTTTTTTCCAAGTTAGCTTCTAATATTTTACTTCGTCTTGAATGGGGATTTGAATGTTGTCAAAACTAACAGAAGGACATACTGATCGCTTGTTTGTGAAAGTCACTTGTGCGGATTTGGTTTAACTTTAATTTTCCATTGGAGTTGTTGCAATAACTGGATTAATGTGTGTTGATCATCTGCGAACATTGCTATTATTTAGTATTATTTGTAGTAGGTGTATATTAAGAATAATATAGGCCCCAGAGTACTCCCTTGTGGTACACCAGCCTTTATTAGGTGATAACTTGAAAGTGCAGAATTATGCTTGGTTTGGAACTTTGCTACTATATACTATTCACTGTTCACACCTCCTCACATTTAGAAAGTTAAGCGAATACTCGTTACCAACTTAAATCCAACATATATATAGCAACTTTGTCTAAGTTTTGTCAGGACCTCAATGTAATTAATGGTTTACCGTCTAACCCTGAAGTAACCATTCAATCATGATGATATTCGAGTTTTTAGCCCTTGACGATGTGGGAGTCTTCCAGTTTGTTGCTAAAGGTACGTTTACATCTGACATTTATTGCATGAGATTTATGCCTGACATTTGTTTAATACAGTGTAAACACTCAAAAATATATGTCCGAGAAAAATTTTTGTGACTAAACAACTGTCAAACATAAATCTCATGCAATAAATGTCAGATGTAAACGTACCTTTAGTTGTTTTATGTAAATTTAAATATTGTTTTGGCAGTGACGTAGCCACTAGGGTTCCAGAACCCCTAATACATTTTTAGTGACGTAGCTTAGCGTATCTGTTCTTTTTTAAATAATTTTCATCTTTCAATATATTGACTCCATGACTATCCATTTAGGTTTGTCTTATGACACAGTAATCACTTATTAACCGATCGCCAACAAATTGACTTTGTGAAAAATAAAAACCTATAATTTTTACAAAACTTATTTCTTCAACAGAACTTAAATATTTGAGCTTGGGAGTACTAGAAAATCTATTTAAGAGAAAATTGTAATTATAATTATTCGAAACTTTTTTAAGTAACTGTTGTGCCTGTATAGTAATTACAGTGAACTACATATTAAAGAACAAATAAAATGTATTTTATTAAATATGCCATTTCGTTTGTTATTTTTACATAAAATTAATGTCCCATTTTCAGGTGCACCATGGAAATAATTAAATAATGAATTATATTCCAAAATTTTTGTTATACTTAACGGGATTATGATTTAATAATATAAAAAAGTTTACAAAATTATTATTTTTGTTACCTATTTATTATTATATATTTTAAATAATTAATAATTACAATAGATCCTTAAATTATTTTTCTAATGGCAATATAAAATCAAAGATACTTTGAAGAATGAAGTAATAAGAATGTAGGTAAGTATATAGTTTCAAATATTTAACAAATTATGTTTTTATTGACATTTTAAAATTTTTACAATAAATAGCATAACTTCATGAATATATTGTTATTTAAATAATTAGTAGTAAACTATAGAGAAGAAACTAAATATTTTCATGACCAGTAGTTTATAGATTTTGTACCTTTCGAATTGTATACCTATAATTGTTAAAATAATAATAATGAAAGATTGTTTCTGCGAATGTTGGTGTTCAGAAAATATAATGATCAAGAATCAATAAATATATATTGAGTAATATTATTCGGTTTTTTATTTCGTTTCCCATAATCATAATAAATAGTACGGCTAAAGATAGAGACGAACGGCATAGAGCACAGTAACGGACACCAAATTTCAGTGAAATCAAACGAAAAAATTTTATGGATATAAAATGGCCGTACTCTAGTTAGTTATACTGATGGCGCCATCTACTGGCAAGTTGTCAAAACAAGAAACATATCAAAATAGTATTCTATTATTAACTACTCCTTGTTTGTGAATTTGTCCATAGATGGCGCCAATTTAAAAATGTATTAGTTTCGCCATGTTCTGTCCACATTTTAGATAAAAAAAATGACTGGGATAGTAAATTTTTCCGACTACGAAATCTGAAATCGACAAAAAGTGGACTTTTGAAAATTGTCATTGCCATTCAGGGTAAAGCAAAAAGGACGGATTTATAAACTTGAATATCTCCTAAACGGCGTAGGATAGAGACGAACGACATAAAGCACTCTATCATATCTGTTCGGCTCTACGTTTTGAGCAAGTTTAGAGAATGATTCGATAATTAGTAACTGAGGAAAATTAAAAAAACATAAAACCCTTGTCAATAAGAAGCAACTGAATCCACTCCGTAATTTCCATTGTTCTCTTCGATATGTAGCCAAATTTTCATTGAAATCAGAGACAAAAAAAATTTTTCTCAAAAAATTTTGAAGGCTATACCCTTTCGTTTTTTTTTCCGAAAAATTCATGGTCTCCGATTGAGCTGAAAATCGGACAGTGAACAGTATGCGCTCCAAAACGTTCAGAAAAACAGTCTGTTTCTCGCTAACATAAGTGGTTAAAAAGTAGAGGCTTGTTTTGTGATAATTAGCAAACTTAGAGAACTGCGGGTGAGTTTTTTCAAACGTACTTGTCTTCTACTCACTGCATACAACGTTTCGTCCAAATCGGAGCAACTTTTGAACGAAGAGAGATATTGAGCAACAGACACCACTCCGACATTTAGTTTTACATCCTGATTCTCTGTACCAAATTTCAGCGAAATCGAAGACGAAAAAATTTTTATGCAAAAATTTTTGAAGGCTATACCCTTTCGTTTTTTTTTCGAAAAATTCATGGTCTCCGATTGAGCTGAAAATCGGACAGTGAACAGTATGCGCTCCAAAACGTTCAGAAAAACAGTCTGTTTCTCGCTAACATAAATGGTCAAAAAGTAGAGGCTTGTTTTGTAATAATTAGCAAACTTAGAGAACTGCAGGTAAGTTTTTTCAAACGTACTTGTCTTCTACTTACTGCATACAACGTTTCGTCCAAATCGGAGCAACTTTTGTCAACTTTTGAACGAAGAGAGATATTGAGCAACAGACACCACTCCGACATTAAGTTTTACATCCTGATTCTCTGTACCAAATTTCAGCGAAATCGAAGACGAAAAAATTTTTATGCAAAAATTTTTGAAGGCTATACCTTTTCGTTTTTTTTTTCGAAAAATTCATGGTCTCCGATTGAGCTGAAAATCGGACAGTGAACAGTATGCGCTCCAAAACGTTCAGAAAAACAGTCTGTTTCTCGCTAACATAAATGGTCAAAAAGTAGAGGCTTGTTTTGTAATAATTAGCAAACTTAGAGAACTGCAGGTAAGTTTTTTCAAACGTACTTGTCTTCTACTTACTGCATAC